CTTACATGAGCGATTGTGTTTTTAAAAATATTTTATTTATTTACTTGGCTGTGTCAGGTCTTAGTTACAGCGGCATGCCAACTCTCAGTTGCAGCATGTGGCATTTAGTACCCTCACCAGGGAAACCCAGGCCCCCTGCATTGCGAGCGTGGTGTCTTAGCCACTGGGCGACCAGGGAAGTCCCAGCAATTGTTTTCAGAGGCTAGAACACAGATTGATTGTGAGGAACTGAAATCGTGCAACTCAGCCTGGGACCTGAAACCATGATCTTTTGACGAAGATCACACACCTGGCCTGAGGATGTAATGAAGCTCAGGTTCTTGATGTCTCATCGCAGAAAGAATTCAGCAATTGACCAAGTGGTAGCAAAGAAGTGGATTTATTTCGAGAAAAACACACTCCCCCAAGTGTGGGCCATCTTGGAAGGCAAGAGGCCTTAAGAGAAACAAGTGGAAATGAAACAGGAGGAAAAAGGGCAGGGCCCAACCTTTTAAAAAATGACACAGCAATAGGACATGACGAAAACTGGTTAAAACCAACTAGGTCCAAGATGGCAGACAAGTTAACCTCCAGTAGAGCTTAAGCCTCAGTATACAGTCACTATAACATACTAGCATGCTAAATGACACACCCATCAGCATTATGACAGATCCTGCAAGCTGTGTAGTTGTGGTGCACAGGCCTAGTTGCCCTGTGGCATGATCAGCAGGGATCAACCTGTGTCCCTTGCACTGGCAGGCAGATTCTTAACCACTGGACCACCAGGGAAGTCCTCCCCTGTCCTTGAAGTGTGAGTTCTGCCCACCGTTACCACAGTGGGAGCTGTTCTGAGGACACAGCTTTGAGAGAGCGAGGTGTGGTTGAGACCATCTGGACTAAAGGCATGACTGAAGCCTGTCAAGGCCTCTGTATAATAAAGATTCTTGTGGGTGAGTAGGGAGACCTACTTGTCTTGCTGCCGTCCAGAATAAGCTTCATTTGTTATAAATTCCCTTGCTTATTTTAAACCTGTCACCTACCAACCTGGAGAGGTCTACCTCTTTCTTTCATCTCTCCCTGCCCTCCGTGAATGGGGGCTGCTTTCAGAGTTTACCTAGGAAGCCCCGGAGGTTTTGAACCAACAACTAGAACCTTTACCTCCCTCAAGTCTTTTTTCTTCTTTTGGCCGCAGCTGGTGGCATGTGGGATCTTCACTCCCCAACCAGAGATGGAACTCTGGCCCCCTGCAGTGGAAGCATGGAGTCTTAACCACTGGACCACTTGGGAAGTCCCAAATCTTTTTTCAAATGGAACTCTTAGTTGGGATTCCTTCAAAGCAAACCCAATGATGAAGACCTGGGTGCAGGTAGTTTACCTGGAAGATGATCCCAGGAACTATGGTGAGGGAATGGGGAGTAAAACAAGGAGAGAGGGAGGGAAGTGTATAGAGGGTACATCTAAATAATAGTGCCACCAGGTCTCCACTCTGCTGGAGGCCCTGAGAGACTATGTAGAACATTTACCCACCGATACTCATCCCTCACTGTTTGGAGCTGCTCCCAGGAATATTACTCCCTGGCAGTTTGGGCCTACCCTGCATGGCTTGTTTCCAGATAATAGTCTCAGGCAGAGACAGAAGCTGCTGCCTTAGGTGGGAAGGATCTGCTGGAGGCAACCTCGTCTGAGTGGGTGTGGAAGAGGCACCCTCAGAGTCTGCTGGACACCTTCTCAGTGCTGCCTGCCTAGGCTGCTCTAATTGAACCTGGAGCCTGTATTCCACAGTTTCTTTGCTATCCTGGCCTTTTCTGTTGCACATATCCTTTTAGAATACATAATTTATTGTCATATGTTGCTTTTTTTTTCTTGTCTTACTTCTGACTCTTGTTCATTGATGTATATCCTAATTCCTAACCAAATGGCCTGGCATAGAGTAGGCCCTCACAAAGTAGTTATTAAATAAATGCATGAAATCCTTTTTGATGCCTCGTGGGAAAACTGGATAACTTCATTTGTTGGTCTTCAGTGTTGGAAGAAGCTTTGGGAAAAGAACACAGTCAAGCTGCCTCATGTACAAATGTGTACTGTGGGGACAATAACTCAGTTTCACTGATGTCCAGGACCTGTCTTTTCTAAAATACTTTACTGCTTGTTATTACAACCATAGTATAATTTTGATTACTAATTAAACTCTACTGCAGTCCCCTTAATACTCAGTTTTCAAGGTATCACCACATATCTCATTTGATTGTTAGAGCAACTTTGTCACATAAAGCTAAAATTATTTACTATTCCCTTTGTTGAGAATCTAAGTAATTTCTGAATTCCCTTCTGAATTCAGAACAGTCTTTCAACTCCTCTCTGTCCCCTGACAATAACTATACTTTTTTTAAAAACCAGTTTTAAAAAGTGCTAAGCATATCTAAGGTTCAGGAATAATTAAGTCTCAGTTTCTATGGCTTTTGGAAGACCTTGTTTACTTATTTATTTTTTGCCTGTGCTGCATAGCATATGCATATTAGTTTCTGACTAGGGATCAAACCCGTGCCCCCTGCAGTGGAAGCGCTGAGTCCTAACGACTGGATTGCCAAGGAATTTTCAGACCTTGTTTGCTTGAATCAATTGTGATGACATAAGTTTCTTCTCCTCTAATTTTATCTAACGAGTCCTAAAAGAGCACAGATTTTGGACTACTCAATTGCTTAGAAACATTAAAGAAAGCTGACTACTGCATACTAGGGCTTTGATTTCCTCTTTGTTACAGGAAATCCATTTTTGCACATATTGACTATTGTGTCATAATTAGTAAACATGAAAAAGGACAGAGTTTTGGGAGGAGGAAGAGGCTATGTCTCTAGTGAGAGGAACCCCACTGCTATCTCACTGTGGATGTGTTCAGTCATGTGTCCTCATATATCACACTTGAAACCACTTGGCCAAGAGTCAGACTGAGTGTGCGAGAAATAACCAGCTCAGAAATGACAAGGAGGGAGCCAAGGAAGGTGAGCCGAGGCCACGAAGGGTCCAGGCCTGTACAGAGTGTATCTTCAGGCTACACATTTGTGTTGGCTGCTACAGTTGACCAGTTGGGCACTATCTCCAGAAACAAATGTTAAAGAATAACTCAGAAACATTTAGTTACTTGCACGGAGATTAGTATTTTCCAAGCAAATAATGTATTCCACATGTGAGGGAATCAGTGCAGAGAATGAGTTAGGCACAAAGGCAAAATGAGGATGTGGTAGATTGCTACACTGGTGGTCCTTAGGGAATCAGTGAACCTCCCAGTATTCACACCCCAGCATAGCCCCTTCCACACTAAACCTGGACTTGGCCATGTGATTTATTCTCATCTAGGTGACATCAGCAAGCGTGATGAGAACAGAGTCTTGACAAGCACTCATACCTTGGAGTCTGTCTTCTTGGATTACTCTCTGTGGAAGCCAGAGCCATGTAAGAAGTCCAACCAACCAGAGACAGCCATGCTCTGAGGATGTCAAAGCCAGCTACATAGCAAGGCCACACGGAGAAACAATGAGGTATCATATAGGCAAATAAAGCTTCTTGAGTCTTCCAGACCAGGTACCAGCCACCAGCTAAATGCAGCTGAGTGATTTCAGCTGATGCCATACAGAATGGAATAACCACCCAGCCAAGCCCTCAGTCAGTCTAGTCTACAGAATGAGGGGAAATAACATATTGTTTTATGCTACAACATCATGCAGTGATTTTTATGCAGCAATGAATAACTGTAACCAAGACTTACAAGAGAAAGGAAAGAAAGAAAACTGCACTCTGGGAATAGTGAATTTTATTTGTCTAGTTTTGGAGTAAGCTGAGTAGCTGGCACCCAGCAAAGAAGTCAGTCTGATATTCTGTCCTCAAGTAAACTGTCCAGGAATATCAAATAAAACAATTTTTATTGTTTACTGATTCTCAAGAAAACCTTGAAGGTTTACTTACAGAACTTATTGTATAATATCTGCCAATGTCCTTCTGTTAATACTTTTGACTTTAATTAGTTCAGGTTGAACAGTGTCTCTTGGTAGAATTTTATAGAAGAAACAGAGATTGGGAAAAGACCCAACACAAAGTGGCCTGCAGAATCTGAACCCTCCCTCCGCCAACCCTACCCTAACTTCTTTTCTTCTGTTAAAAACAGCATCATTGACATATATACACTACCATGTGTAAAATAGCTAGCTAGTAGGAAGCTGCTATATAGCACAGGAAGCTCACCTCGGTACTCTATGATAACCTACAGGGATGGGATAAGGGGGTGGGAGGGAGGTTCCAGAAGGAGGGGATATATGTATACACACGGCTGATTCATTTTGTCGTATAGCAGAAACGAACACAACACTGTAAAGTAATTATACTCCAATAATAAAATTTAAAAAAAGAATAAAATAAAAACAGCATCAGGGACTTCCCTGGTAGCCAGTGGTTAACAATCTGACTAGCAATGCAGAGGATGCAGGTTCTATCCCTGGTCGGGGAACTAAGATCCCACATGCTACGAAGAAACCATGCCTACGTGCCACTACTGAGCCTTGCATGCCACAAGTTCAAGTGCTGCTACTAAGACCCAACACAGCCAAATAAATAAATATTAAACAAAATAAAAACAGCATCAGCGGCATCAGCAGTTTGTCTGTCCAGTCCTTTAGTCAACAGTCAGAGCTACCTAAAAATGGACTATCTTAAGGCTCAGGGCCGTGCAAACATTCTTGGAGCCTGAGTTCCAACCATGGTACTGCACCAAGGAGGCAAGGGTGGAGGGGCACTTGGGAGGCAGGATCCTGGAAACGAGAGCTACTTCCCAGGGCCAAGTGGTTAACTGGGATCTCCCTGAATGGTGGGACTAAGGATGACAACAACAAAAGACAAAAAGGACAAAGAAGAGGTTAACTGGTGACAGAGAAATGCAGACAGAAACAGAGGAAAGAGCTGAAACACTCAAAGAACAGAATTACACAAAGTTAAGTAGAATTAAAATTTATTTGGAAGACAGGGTGAGTCCATCACTGGTGACTGGAGCTCTGAGGCTGCACTTTCTCCTCAGGAAGCTGGGCTGGAATGGGGTGGGCTGTGTTTGGCAAGGGCTGTGGTGGTTTGGGATCTAAGTAGATGAGCAGAATTAGTTTTTGAAGACTGGCACTTTTCACACCAACCCAAAATTCACCCATTTGTCCTCTGCAGCTCTCCATTACCCACTGTCTCTACTCCCTGGGTTAACCCCCATTTTCTCAACCACCTCTCACCTGCCTGGTTCCCCAGCTGGGCCTCAGGTCGGTCTCCCCAGAGCACATGCCTTGGGTTGTTGAGGAACCGTTGGCTGCGCTGGCATGTCAGGCAGGTCTGTACAGTCCAGCGCTGACCCTTGCAGCCTGGAATGCATGTGGGAGAAAGAGAGTGCCCAGGTTTAGGAGAAGAAAAGGTCTCCTGAATCCAGTGTTGCCTCCATTGTTTTCTAGTAGGGATTCTCCTTCCTCCCCACCTTGACCGCAAATTTGACGGTGTCAGGTCCCTGAACAAAGTGTATCATTTTCTTGGCACCCTTTTAAGACAAAGTCCAAACTCCTTAACAAGCCTCTTCAAGATCTGCCCTGTTTCCCTCTCCCACCTCAGGTCTTGCCCTTGCCCACCTCAAAGCCCGCCTCCTGAACTCTCAGTTCCTTGACAGCACTGCAGGCTTTCTTTCCTGAGGCCTCACAAGTGGCAAGGATTTCCATCTCCTACTCCCCTGCTCTTATAATGAACCTTCCCACCACTGGTTTAAATAACTTAGTACTCTACTTCCCTAACTGAAGCATTTTTCTAGGCTATTCTAATCGTTCCTGTCTTAGTCCATCCCATGAGACCATATTTCAAAGAGAATGTTGATTCTAGAGCGATCCTTGACACATCTCAGAAAAATAATTCTTGAATGAACGAATGAAGATGGGAATCATCCTCCATGATGTCAAATAACAGCTATTATCGTGGCCGGGCGAGGCTGCCTCTCAGGGGAACATCATTTTTCTACTGCCCAGATCTGTCTGTCCAAGTGGAGTTAACTCAGACAAAGCCGGCAACTCCAAATCCCACACCTGGCACGCGTCTGCCTCGAGAAAGAGACCACTACCTGTCCCCTCCCCAGCCCACAGGTGTTCCTCATACATCCCACCTTAGCAAGAGGGAGCACTCACGTCTCTGGCGCTGGGTGCAGGTCAGACCCGGGATGAGGAGGGAAGAGCAGCCACGGCAGAGAGTCCGCTTCACCGAGGGGTCCCTGGGGGCGGAGGCAGGTGGTGGTCTGGACGTCCGCTCTCCCTCTCCAGTCTTCCCCCGTCCCGCCCGCTGCCGGGCTCCATAACCCCTCTTACCGCCGTAATACGAGCCGCTTCGCTATGGTCCTCTCCGTGTGGCAGTAAAACCTCGCTAGCGCCTGGTTCTCCGGGTCCTGCGCGAGGACGCAGTGGGCGGCCTGGGGGAGTGAGCCGTCACTGGGGGCCCTCCGCATTGGGCTCCCCGCCGTGCGTGAGCCGCGGACTCACCTGGTACAAGAAGTTGAGCCTCTGGAAGGCCTCGCGGTCCTTCACCGGCCCCGCCATCCACGCCGAGCAAGCTCTCCACACGCTACCGTCCACAGGCCCCGCCCCCAGGATAGCCACGCCCCCGGCGTCCGCGTAAGACCTCCTGGGAATTGTAGTTCTGGGAGCCTTGTGCCCTCCTTTCTTCCTGGCCTTCCTTTCTCTGGCGCCACCCTGTGGCCTCACAGACCAACTATTTGCAAATCCACCCTGCCCCTGCAATCAGAGCCCAGCGGCCTCCTCCTACTCTTTCTCAAGCCAATATTAGGCAGAAACTGGAGAAGTTAGTTGAGCAGAAGTCTTAAACCCTTAAACATCGTCAGGGCAGAAGACTCTTCTCTTTAGACAGATAGGTTGGGAGATGGTTAAGTGCAGTTTATACCTGGCTAGACTTTCTGCCCTATGTTCCTGAAGACAAAGGCAGATGCCTGTAAGACCTACAGACAGAAGTAGCAGGTATCCCTTGTTTTACAAAAAAGCACTGATGCTAGTGGGAGTGACGCTGGAAAGGATCATGAGGGTAGTGGAGGGAGGGAAGAGGGCTCCTGGCTCTTAGAAAGCAAAGTTTCCTCCCAATCTTTTCCACTTACCAGATGCAGTGCTGGCCACAGTAGGTGATCCTCACCCCTGGTCTTAGGAACTGAGCACAGAAATCTTTCAATAGCATCCCCTCCCCCGGAAGAAACATCCCCTGTAGTACTTCACATCCCTCCCTTCAATCTCCGCCTCTCCTTTGCTGTTTGACCTCCTGATTCTGCTTCATAATTAATACCACTCCTTCCTGAGGTTAGAAGTAGAGGGACAGAATATGCATAAACCCTGAGACAGGAGAGGGCAGCAGTATCAGGAGAGGATGAGAATTCTCTCCTTTCTCAACCACCGCCCCCTACACCTTGCCCCAATCAGGACTCCAGTTTGAAAAGAAATGGCTGAAATTCCTCTCAGATTACTTTCACAAGGCTCTCCAGACTCAAATGAGGAGTATGCTTAAAAGGCAGATATGCCCAGGCCCACGCCAGACCTCAGTCAATCACTGAGGGCAGGCACCAGGAATATGCCTTTCTTTTTTTTTTTTTTTCCACACTACAAGGCTTGTGGGATCTAAAGTTCCCCCACCAGGGATCAAACCCAGGCCCCCAACAGTGAAAGTGTGGAGTTCTTACACTGGACTGACAGGCAATTCCAAGGAACATGCATTTTTTTAACATTGAAGTTTCTAACACATCAACAGAGGTTATTGTCAAATTACCACAGGACACCAAGATCACTTCAGTGGATCCTTTGTTCCATATTATGTTTTACCAACCAAAGCATCTTGCCACAAAGAACCACAGTCAAGGCACAAAGGTAAGAGGAGAGTCTGGACAAAGTCCTGTTGAGGTGGTAGGAGGAGCTGAAATGCCCTCAATAAACTGCAGTTTCTTGTCCCAGTCTTCTGTGAACCCCTGATTAGTCAGTAGCAGATAATCCAGTCATTTTAGTTTGGTTTGGCATGCATTGCGTTACCTTTTCTGACAACATATGTACCCTATAGGTTGTTTATTTTGGCCTAACATTAAAATGATTTACATTCTCTGATAGGAGAAGTGGCAAAACGTGAAGGATGGCAACAAACAAACAAAAAATCGGCTCTTATGAACCCTAGTTCCAGGCCAGATGCACACAGGCCAAAGGAAGTTGCCTGTCTGGCTCTTCCCTAAACATACTATCCTGTTCTACCCTGTCCCCAGGGTAAGGAAGACACCAGTTTCTTTCTCCCTGTCTGGCTTGGATACCTTACTAGGTAACAAGGCTGACAACTTGGGAGCAGCTACTTGGAGGCAATCTTTAAGGCCAGGGCTTTGGATAGGAATGCTTTTCTCTTTCCTCTAATACCTGATTCTCTCCTTTCCAAGTTCCCTTGGAGAAGCAATGAGAGGGTAGATGTGTCTTGCATGATCTCTTGCATCTTGCCCTTTCAGATGAACAAGGTAACAGCTCTTGGAGACAAATAACTACAAGAAGGCAGGTGATAAGCCAGGCCTGCTGGAGATGGAGGCAGGGACCTGGGTTCTCTCTCTTCCTACTCCCTCCTCCTCACATTCCTACCTCTGGCCAATCCTACTCATAATGGAACCAAAGAAACCCTTCTCTCTTTCATTAGTCTTTAGGAATCGGTTCCTTTAGCCCTCTTTCCTGATCTTTGTTCTCAACTTCTTGATGCCCAATCTCTGCCCTGAAAATAACTCCTCAACTTCTAGACCCATGAGAACAACTGTCATTCACCTTTATTTCAATTAGAGGTACAAAGACCCCTGTGATCTTCCTTAAAAAAACAAGTCTATTCTGGGTCAAAGAAACCCCTGAAAGGCTGTACAGGGGTTTCTGTTTCCTCCTCTGGTTTGAGAAAGTCAGACCCTTCCACAGACTTGTTGTTTCTGGAAAAGTCTCTCCTTCCTTCCCAACTGGTCCTTGTGCAATAGAAAACCTGATGGACTTCAGGGGAGACCACCCCCTGAGAACCAGCTCTCCACCCTGTCAGGAGGGAGCCACTGCAGAGCTCTCGACCTAGTCCAGTCCAACCTACTCCTCCACAGAAACCATTCGGGAAACCAAGGTGTTCTCCCACATGGTTCAGAACCAGAACCAGGCAGACACGAAGACATTCCAGCAGGTCACAGGAAGGAAGGCCCGTAGCTCTTGACCCTGCCTCACCCTGATGATTCCCATGCCCCTTCCTGTCACTCCCAATCTGTTGGGGGCCTGATGGTGAGTGGTGCAGCATTCTTCCGACCAGCCCGGATGCCTGGATAGAAGAGGGGCCAAAGTTTCTCAGTAAAAGTATCAGTGAAGGTGTAGATATGAGAGCGGTCTGTGACGTTGTAAAAAGACAGTGTGCCGGCCTCATAGTCTAGGAATATACCCACCCGCTTGGGTTTCACCTTGATGTGCAAAGGGGTAAAAGGCGTGGTAGTGGCTGCATACTTGTCCCCGTTCCACAGCCGCACCCGCCAGTAGCCAGTCTCAGGCAGCGGGGTCAGTTCACCCTTCCGGCTCACGGAGTCCCGGCACACGCCCACCGCCCAGTGGGTCTTGTCGCCCACCTCCACCTCCCAGTAGTGTCGGCCTGAGGTGAAACCCTCAGTAGCCAGGACGCAAGGGTAGAAGGTGAAACGCCGTGGAGTATCAGGGAGATCCCGGAGTCTTGTCTCCACGAACTTGACGCTCTTACGATCTTCCGACAGGACTAGGTTAGGATGAGCTGTTTCAGGGTCCAGGGTCACATCCGCTGGCGGGAGAAGCCACAGTGGGGAGCTAGATGAGGATGGGAATAGCTAAAAGCCCCTGCCTCGCTCTTCCAGCCTGCCTTTACAAAGCCTGCCCCTTGAAAGCCTCCAGAACCCCGTGGTTTGGTTAACCTTCTCAATCCTCAGTGTCACCTAAGGGAGCCGAGAGGAGGGGAGGGGAGGGAACAACAGCTTCTCATCCTGGCCCTAAAATAAACAGGTAATGATCTCTTGACTCCGCAAGGGCTGCTGGTTGAGGCTCCTGCCTGGTCCTCCCTGTATTCCTCTGATATCATCATGCATCTCACTGGGTGGAGAAGCACAAGGCACAGACCAAGGGCCAGAAACCATGAAAAATGTTAAGAAGGATACAGAGCAAGAGAGCATTACAGTCTGACGATAGGGTGACCATGTGTCTGTTCTCCTGTAACAGTCTGGCTTATGCCTGTTTTCTGAGTAAGTATTAATGAGACTCCCTTTCATTCTCAAGAGGAGACCAGTTTTCAGCAAATTATTTAGCCTCTTTGGGTCCCTATTTAGAAAAGTGTGGGACTAAGAGGAGACCAGTTTTTGGCAAATTATTTAACCTCTCTGGGTCCCTATTTAGAAAAGTGTGGGACTAAGAGCAGATGACACCTGAGGCTTCTCACTTTGAGTTCTGCGATTCAGAGTGAGATTAAAAGCCAGGTAAAGGAGTGGATGTGGATATGGGCATGAAAAGTGACAGCAGGGATAACTGAAGTCCAGGTAAAGTAGGACCTAAAGACTTCCTTTTCTTCTGCTGATTCCCTTTGCTAGTTTCCTTTTGGGAACAACTCACCAATTAGCTGTTTAAGGATTTTCCTTAGTGCAAAGTACTGTCGGGGGAAATTGCTGAAGTTCTTTTCCAGCTCTATGGATACTGAAGTCACCTCCATGGTCTTCACCTTCTCACATCTAGGAGGGATGGGGAGATAGGGGAAGAAAGGGCAGGGTCAGGGGAAGCTCCAGCTTAGTCACTATTCAGATGTTGTCATCTTTAGGGAGAAACTAAAATTATTCATCCTCGTACTTCCTCCTCTCTCAAGACAAGTACTCACTGCTTTCTTTTACCTATCTATGGAAAGAGAGATGGTCCCCTGGACAAATCCTTAAGAATGAGTTTTAGAACTTTCTGGAAGTACTGTTATATTTCATGCACAGAGATACCACCCCTACCCCCCAACCCATTCCTCCTTCCATCTTGTTTGGATATGATTCCACCCACAGCCCCAGGCAGAATCTGGTTCTATTACATTATCTTGGTATCTACCCTACCAAGGAAGTCCTGATGCTCAAAGGGTAAAGGGGACTAGTACTCCCAATCATTTGCTCTGTAATTGGCTTCATGGATGCAAAAACCCTTCTCCCTTTTTCTACCCAAACACTGCATGACTTTCCCATTCTTACTCCCCCAACTCCCTATTGCAGCCCTACTCTTTTAAGCCAAGACCTAACTCACTCAAAGAGATACAAGAATCACTTACTTTTCCAGGGTACTTTTGACATCCTAGAGGAAGGAGAAAAGAAAGCAATATTGGTCCTGGTAGTCAAGGGCCCTACAGGCAAATGGTTCCCCTCCTCCCCAAAGTTCTAGAACTATTAAACAGGCACAGGGCAGACTAAAGGTCACAGTGCAAAGGGGACAACTCCAGAGGGATCTGAGTACATCTTTCCCAACCTAACCCCCACCTTCAGCTCTCGGTCATCATGAAACTTGGTAATTGATGTCACTTCCAAATAGTTTCCTGTGTGTTTGTCTTCGTTCCTCAAGAACACTGGGAGCTCAATGCCAGGGATAGGATTGTGTCTGCTCTTTGCTCTGTCCCCCAAGTACCAACCACACACCTACCTCCTTGAGAATCAGTAGAGATAGTTCTAGACTGCTGGCATAGGAATGAATCACTCTCTCCCATTGTGGTTTGGTATCCCTTGTCTAGTACTGGTTAATAAATATTAATAAGTGCATGCCAATCCTGATTTGTGAATACTTGGGGTCCAGAAGACAAAGAAGACAAAATCTCTGCTCCCCCAAGGATTTCCCAGTTTAATGTGGAAGGCAGAACACACATACATGAAAGGACATGAGAATAAATACCAAGCAATATATAACATGCAGATAAATATACAACGAAGCCTCACTGATTCAAATGCTGGTAATGTGATCTCTAAGATAAAAAATATGTTTCCTGGAGTCTTGCTAACACCATTCATTTGCTTAAGAAAACAGACTATTTCAAACATTTTAGAGGCACTATTTACATATCAAAAGCAGCATGTTACTATACATTATTTCAAGTGTCATCACACTATATTTCTGTTCTTTTTGAGCACTAGGTAAATCAAGTTCCAGGACTTAAAAGTAACGGTCACTGCATTTTACACAATTTTTAATGCATAGATTTTTCACTAATTTAGACTAGACTGCCCTCCTCTCCAAAAAGTGAGTTTTTTCTTTGGTACAAATTAAGCACGTAATTGTTGACAAGACGTAGGAACACAGAAGTGATCAAAAGGGGATGTGAGAAATCAGAGAAGCCTTTCTGTAGAGAAAGATCCTTTCAGCATGTCTGGAAGAAAGAACTGGATTTAGAGAGGCAGCGTGGAGGAGTGAGCATTGCAGGCTGACAGAATGACCTGTGCAAAGCTAGCCTGTGCTCGGCCTGATTGGCTATGCAGGGGCAAAGGTCGAACCTTAAGCATCTCGAAGCCCGACTGTAAGCACTTGCCCTCCACCTCAGCAGCCAAGTGGGCGAGGTCCCGGCGCTTGTCTCCAAGGTGAGCAGCATTTTCTCGGAGGCGCTGTAGAATGTCCTGTTCCTCCTCCTCTAGCCGTGAAAGTAACACCTGTTGCTCTTCATCCAGCCGCCGGTGAAGCTCTTCAAATTCCTTTAGGATCTGCTGTCGGCGACTCTCCACTAGTCTCTGAGAACAGAGGGTGGGTGTTACGTTTAACAGGGTCAGTGGGGCATAGGAATACCATTCCTCACCCACCATGTGTATGAATTCACAAACGTCAAGTGTCATTGGAAAGAGTTTAAAAGGACACTCATGTTTCTCTCCATTGATATTTCCTTCTGTAAAGAATGGCTCCATCCCCATTAGCACCCCTACTGATGACTTGGGATGAAGACCATTGAGATAAAAAAATAAACCAATGCTGAAAAAAAATATTTTATTTACTAAATTAACTTCTAAAAAAGCTATACTTTTATGTTTTAGTAAAAAAATTCAAGACATAAGAACTCAATAATATGACAAGTACTATTAACAGAGATACTGGTATAATATGACAAGTACTATTAACAGAGATACTGGTATAATACCACTGTAATAATATGACAAGTACTAATAGCAGAGATACCTCTGCTATTTCCTACTCTAAGTTCTAGCTAACACAAATTGTCAAGAAAAGGAAAGCACAAATACAGGAAAGTTAAGAGATTGTCATCATTTGTACACTGTAAGACATCTACTTGATAAAAACCAGAGATGGAAAAACTGGAAAAGTATCAGAATCAGTAAGATTTTAGTAATGGACTGTTATAAAATATAAATTTAGATTTCAGGGCTGAGCCTGCTAAATAGTTTCAAGTCACTTCAGAGATTGACAGTTTCCTATAACCCTCAGGAATGGGTTATAGATGTGAAAAAATAAAAGGGGCAGTGGTTCTGGAGGTGGGGACGAGCGAGAGGGAAGAAAGAGAATTCAAAAGGTCACTGAAGGAAAGTTGGTGACTGGTGACAGCTTCTGAGACCACTGAAAAGATAATTTACATTAAAAAAAACACCACACCACAGTTCTATTCAAACATTTAGCAGGTTTTTAAACTTTCTATTTCCTTCTCCATCCTTTACCTTTAAGAATGTGATCAACAGGAAAAGGAAAGCTAATGATTAGGAATAAACTTCATTTTCACTGATTTTAAGTGTTACAGGACAATAACTTTTTAAAGTTTACCTTTGCAATCAAAATTAGTTCAACTTTTTAAAAATTCAAACGCTTGTTTTTAAAATGCATAAAGGACCAAGGTAGTAATACTTGCTTCCCGTTGAAATGTTGTCATTGTTAAAAAACAAACAAACACTAGTGTTTCCACTGATTTCAAACTTGTATTTAGTTCTTGGTAATCCCTAAATCTCATTTATTTCTTCTGGAAGGCTTTAATGACATTGAGTTTCTCTGCCACATTCTTGGGAATTTGCAACTGTGCTTTTTGTGCCTGTTGTTTCTATTTTCTCTACTTGACAGTAAGCTCAAGGGGGGCAAGGACCATGTTTTTGGTCATCAATGGTCTGGTGTCAAAGGCAGGTGTGGCCTATACTGAAATCTTAATAAATATTGATTCCTGCAGAATTAGTATCTCTGGTTTTGCCACATACTGGCTTGGATACGATCTTGGACTAGACACTGATCCAAGTTCTGTTTCCTTCTGTGTAAACTGGGGATAACAAGACTTACCTTATATATAGGGTATCTAAGTTCACTCTTGCCTAATATGCTTTGCTAGACTCCCTTCTCCTTTTTTTGTACCTTCCCTATGCTCCACTGGGGCCAAGTCTAGCCTGACCTCTTAGAACTTAAAACTGGGCAGAACCAAGCATAAGACCTAATATAAAACTTTAAGTTTGGAATGTCATGAACACCTAATGAATTAATGCCCAGGAATCAATAAATACTAATTATTACTGTTACAATTAATACATCTTTCACTGTCCAGTAGAAGAAATAAGGCAGATACCAAAATACCAGGCTACAAATATGATAATACTATAGAAAAGATGTGAAATAGTATGAAACTTAAGAAAGCGAATTTCTGAAGAGTCAGGAAAGGCTACATAGTAAATGGTTTTCATTTTAGGATGGACAGGATCCTATAGGTAGAAGATGGGAAGGGGAAGAACATTCTAGGAACCCATACTACCTAGCATACTCGAGCTTATGTGAATTAAGAGAATGTGGTCCTAATGTGGCTGGGGGCTCTGGGAGCTCTTGGGCAGCTTCTTCATCCTTCCTCCCCAGTGTACCTTCCACATTCTCCAGCAGAGAGCCTCCTTCCTGCTCTACAAAGAAAAGGAGACCAACGGCCATGAACTCCCTCAACTTGCCAAATCCTTCACCTCTTATATCCTTCTCCTCAACTCTTAATCCATGACAAGTAACTTAAGCACAATGTTTAATGACAATCAAGCTTAATAAAATATCATTGTTTTTGAGAGAAGAGCATTTTTTAATAACCAAAAATGGTGGATTAAATGACGTGTCACTAATGTTTAGTTAAATAATGTTCAGTTAAATAATGTGTGGCTAATGTTCAGGGATTCCCTGGTGGCTAAGATGGTAAAGAATCTGCCTGCAATGTAGGAGACTTGGGTTTGATCCCTGGGTTGGAAGATCCCCTGGAGAAGGGAATGGCAACCCACTCCAGTATTTCTGCCTGGAAAATTCTAAGGACAGAAGGAACCTGGTGGGCTACAGTCCATAGGGTCACAAACAGTTGGACACAACTTAGTGACTAACAACAATATTCAGTTAATTGTCTGTAGGGCAGGCCAAATGGGACTGCCTGCCTTTACCTTGAGTTCGCCAGGCTTCTTCTCCTCAGAGGACTTACAGCGGCTGATCTCCTGCAGCTTCTGCTCCAGGGGCTCCAGGCACTTCTGCAGTTTTTCCTGAGAGGTGTGAAGTAGAACAACATTTGTGGTTGGCTGGTACAGCCTATGTTCAGAGTCTAACCCATTTGTTTTAAACTATTTGCTTTCTATTCATCTGACCACCTCTTGATCCAACTCACTTCCTTGCTCATCTTAAGTGTCAACTTCCTACAGGTCCCTCCTCCTACCACCAGCCCGTCTCCATGCCTTCCTTGATTGCAAAACTTTCATTGAATCTCACTGTGTCCAGCTGTCACCAACTCTCTGTCCTTCCCTAGCCCTATTCATTTTCTAACTGAAGGAACTACTTGTACTGACAGTGACCTTATGTACCCTGATATCCTTCTGGTTTTTTTTGCTACATGGTATGCAGGGTCTTAGTTCCCTCACCAAGGACTGAATCCCTGCAGCATTGGAAGCATGGAGTCTTAACAACTGGACAAATTTGTTTTCCTATACAACTCTAAGCACTTGCAAATAAAATAAAATCTTGATTATTCTCTGAATTACCATAAAGTCTTGTTTGTAAGACTTCATTAACATAATTAGGTAAACTACTTGATAAAGTGCTAAGACAGTAAAATCTCTAGTTCCTATTACTCAAACATTTACCCTCTGTCTCAGCAGTAAATTAAACCAGATGCCATGTTACCCATTATCTGGGGAAGATGCAAACAGGCTGGTTCAGCTTAGCCTGGTTGGGATCATTCTAAAATGATGTTACCTGTTCCCAATACCAGTGGGTAAATAAGCGGTGTGCTGAGCAGGAGGACAGAATGAAGAAACCAGACCATTTTTTAGTTCTTAAGTCTGAGATTCTCTGTATGGTTTCATTCATTTATGAAAAATAGGATACATTTTAAGACCACACATACTCAAATGTGTTACAACAGTCAAGAGAGAAATTTGGGGGTACTTCTCACTGCTCTTCATGCCTGAGGACAACCAATCGGACGGGATTATGTGCACCGCCCCCACCCCACCCTCACCCCCCCAGTATGTAGCTCTGAGGGGACTAGAGAGTGAGGACCAGAGACTGTCTTGCCCTCGGGAACTCATGATCCTCTACCCAGGTAGCCTCCCATCCTCTGGGCTCCTCCCTCTTGCCCTGCATTGACATCAAGTGTCTGGTTCCCACCTTGTACTCCTGTGTGGCATCATCCAGTGGCACGACAGTGTGGGCCCGGTGGGTGTGGGAAATTGCACATATCAAACACACAGCCTCCTGGTCCTCATAGCAGAAGAGGCTGAGGGCCTCATGGTGCTGGGGGCAGAGGCTCTCATCTCGGATCTTCCGCTTGACGGCCTGCAGCTGCTTAGCAATTTCCACCATACTGCCCAGCTGTCGATTAGGCCGGAGACTGCGATAGCGGGACGTCTTTCGACATACAGGACAAGGGAAGTCCCTCTCTAGGTCCTCCCACCAGCGAGTGATGCAAGCTTTGCAGAAGTTGTGCCCACACTCAATGATGACAGGCTCCTTCAGATATTCCAGGCACACAGAGCAACTTGCCTCCACCTGTAGGTTCTCCAGAGCTGCAGCTGTGGAGGCTGCAGAGGCCCCGGCCTCTAACAGACTTGTCTCTGCCATTATTTAACTTCAGGTTAAGAAGAGAGAAGAGAGAAAAAAAAAAAAGTTAGTTGGGGGGTTAATTTTTTTGCATCCCTGGCCTGACATTTACCCCCATGTTAAATCCTAACTCCAGATTTAGCACTGTCATGGTATTTTTACATCTTCTGTTCCACTAGTCAATCTCTTTGGTTTCTCCATTTTCAAAAATTGTGACTCCCAGCTATCAGCAAACTGACACACAACCCTCAGTCTCGTCTTTCACCACTGCCTTCTCTTGTTAGAAGCAGAGGCTTCTTTCAAGTCTAGCCCAGAGTATTCATCCTGATCCAGGTTCATTCCACTGCATCTTAACTGTTTCAGAAACATGTATTCTTAATTTGACATCTTTTTCTAATAGATGAAAAAAAAGAGTATGGGAAAGTGAAAAGTGCCTTAAGAGTCAAAGCATTAAGATTGCTTAAATCAAGTATATTTTAAAGTTTAATGCTACAGAAGAGTTCTACTACAATAGCCCACTGAAGCCTAAGCTTGATTCTCTGCCACTGTTCCCTCAGCCTTTCAAACGGTAAATATTGGAATGAGTTAGGCAAGGGTAACAACCTCTTCTTTTCAGAAAAGTGTGACACTATGCTTCCCTTTACCAGGCCTAGAAGAAGTGTGCACTCATCATGGAATGAAATGATTCATACAACAACTGTTTCCTATTTGTGTGCATTTGGATGTTTGGAGCTGCTGTATTACGGCAGCTATACCAAAGAGTTTATTACTGAGCCCAGGGCAATAATTTCTTGAAAAGAAGAGTTGACAAATTTATTCTAAGTATTCAGTGCAGATTGGAGTCTTTTGAAATAGTTATTGATAACTAATTCCTTGGATATACTGTACTTCCAACTAATAGATTCTCGGGTGGTTGGGAATTAAGAGAGAAAACTAAAGTGGCAATCAAAAACTCTAATGAAGCCTCAAAAGAATCGGAAATGCGCCTGAGAGATGTATAAAGCAGAAGGCTGGTCTCTGTTCCATCCTTAAAACATAACGACTATTATCCATGAAATATTTCATTTCTCTACCGCTTAACCTCTCTTTCTAAGGAAGCCAACTGAATAGAATTTAGTAGGTCTATCTATGTTTAGAGAGAAGTGGCCATGTAGTGAGCTGGGTTAACAATGATTATTTCTGTATATACTGATGGCAAACGTTAAAAGTGTTTAATTTGGAGTAGGAACTGATAACATATTTGGACCTGAATTTCTCCCTCAACCACGAGAGAATTGGATGATTTTTCTCTACCTACAGGAATCCAACTTCGACCAGTAACCCTTGCCTTTTCCTAATCTTCTAGAAATTAGGTAGTCGCCTCGCCCGAGATGAGTTGAACTGTATGCTGAGTTAGGGACCAGGATGGATCTAGACTGGCGAAAAAGTAGCGTTAGAGAGAGATGGGGAAAAGGTTAGGGAAGTATGGGGACAGGGCTTGGAGCTACAGCATTAGTGATGCCTTGGGTCATTTCCCCCCCATTCCTCGTGACTCAGTAGAAGGGCAAACTTCAGAGAGGTCCTCATTGTGTTTCTACCACTGTTGGGGGTCCCACCTTGCGACCCTTTCCTGAGCGTGGTCCACAACTCGGTCCCACCCCCGTCTCCATCTTCTCCCGCCTGATCTGGTGCAGGGGGGCTGGAGAAGGGGGAGAGGAAACGTCGTTGTTGGCAGGGAGGGAGGGATGCGTGTCCAGGTGAGAAGGTGTGACGTGAAGATGGGATGCCCGCCGCTATGACGCAGCCGAGACCCGCGGTGACGGCGTCAGAGTTTCACCCGGGGAGGCGAGCGGCAGCGGGACGGGGTAACGGCGGGGTAGCCAAGCAACGCCGGACGCGCTGACGTCGCCGGGGCGGCAAAACGTCCGCCCGGGCCTGAAACGGGCGGAGGCAGCTGTGGTTACGTGCGGGGGGCCGGTGACGCAGTCGCGGGGCGCTAGGACGCGGCGTGCGGAGCCGGTGGGCGGGGGCAGGCCCCAGGGCCCCGGCGCGGCGGCGGGACAGCACCTACCTTCCCGGCTTCGGGTCCGGGAGTGCGGGGCGCGGAGCCGCCGGAGCGCTGCCTCCCTCCTTCCTCCTCCCCCCCGCCCCCGCCCCGCAGCGCGACACACAATACTCGCCGGAAGCGGAAGCCGCGCCGAGAGGCTCGTGTCAGTGGAAGTCGGGGTGTCGGCGGGCAGCCGCGGGAGGGCCTAGCGGACCCTGCGGAACAAGAAGGCGGGGGGCCGGAGGTGAGAACCAGCTGGAGGAGTCAGGGGCGAGAAGAGACCCGGAGGGGCAGGTGGCTGGAATGCGGTCGTCCAGGTTGACCCGAGGAATCCGCTGGAGAAAGAGGGCCGCGCATGCGCGTGGCGGAGCGCTGAAGCCCATTGCCCTCAGGGCGCCTAAGAGCGTCGGGGCAAGCGGTGCTGTCCCGCCCAGGGTCGGTGCCCGGACTCTGGCCTGGCTCGGTTGGTCCCAGGTGGCGCTGGGAGCCGTCGAGGGCGTAGCAGGGGCGGGTTGCGGACTTTGAGCTACACTTCTCTCTTCTGGCCAGTCTCGGGAGAAGGTGGCTCGCCGAGTCGGCGGCCAATAATGTGGCGGTCCTGCTGGTCTCAGCTGGCACGTCACTTCCGATTAGTTGAGTTTTAGGCTTTTAACATTCAAGGATTAGCTCAGTCCTGTTTTGGGCTTCGGATATTCCTTACCTTGTCCCTCCTAGGCGGGATTTATGGAAATTATCTGCTGTCTCCGCTGGAGTGGGAGCCTCAAAAGAGCTGGTACTGTGACTCTGCTGCTTACCTTTGCATCCTCGGCTCCTCGCTCGGGGTCCGAGCGCAGTGAGCGCGCCTTGAACTCGGGTTCTGAATGCGAGAGAATCCCGTCTTTTTCCAGTTTGGGAGCTGTGACTTGAGTTTCTCCGCAGGAGTATATAGTGCTTGTATGGAGACTCCAGACTCCTGCGTTATAACCTCCGTACTTTCCTCTCCTGTTGCTGGAAGCTTCGCAGGTCTGTGACTTTGGAGGACGTGGGTGAGATGATGAGGCTACAAGAGTCTGCAGATGGAGGTGTGATGAGGTTGGGAGGAGGTGCGGAGTTGATGGAGCTGGGGAGGGTGGGTGCTGGGTAAATGAGTGATGCGGCTGAGTAGGAGTTAGTGCTCTAAGCGCACACACGGCTGGTAGAAAAGGCAGCCCACCTCCACTCTTCCCCCAACATTTGGCATACAGAATGCTGACTGAAAGAAATAAGCAAATTTTGGTGTCCCCTTCGAGGGAAAATGGCCATATGGCCCAGCTTGTTCCTGTGAAAGTTATGATGCTGTATACAAACACTGTGCAGTGTTTAACCTCAGAGCATCCTGGGAGCCAGGAACCATTTACTTGCAGAAAATACCTAATATGGAAGATATAAAGATTTAGAGTCAGACATGCTGAGTACAGTTGATCTGCTTTTTCTTCACTGTTCTTTGCTTTTTGTTCACTTTTGTTTTTTCAGTAGCCAGTGGTTTGAAGATTAAATTCGATAAAGTTACATTAACTCCCCTCCACCCCATTGTTATTTGATTGTTTGGAATTTTAGGAGCAGTACGTTTTCTATTTTACCGAATGCCTCAATTCGAAGGTAGTGAGAGCCATTAACTAGGTGGTCAGCCTCTTTAGCCTTGCTTTATGGGGAGAGTGGTGAGGTTTGGTTCTGGTTTATAATTTGTAACTTTTAAGGTGTTGGCTAGCACTTTACTCTGGCTTTCTGTTTGTAAAAACAGATGTGGTACTAAGGAAATTATCAGGAGAAAGAACATTGCCTAGGAGTATGAAGAATGTGTTGGGCTCGAGTAATAGATTTTTTTAAGGGGACTTCATGCCCAATATGGAAGAAAGTGGGGAAGAATAGGTAAAACTATAAAATTATAGTTTAGAAGTTTATTATACTATAAAAATACAGTTCAGAAGGCCATGTCGTATGTCATAGGCCAGGGGTAGATATTTTTGGCTTTATTGCCCATACTGTCTTTGTGTATGAAAATTGCATCAGATTATACTAAACGGTGAGCATTACTGAAGTTTGAATGTCATAAAAATTTTTCACTTGTTTTGAAATTTTATTCTCTTTTTTATTTTACCCCCAATCATTTACAAATGTAAACACATGAAAGGTTGTTGCTGAACCACACAAAGACGCTGGGATTCTTGGCCTCTGGAGGAGAAGAATTCAATCCAGGGCCAGAGACGAGGCTTGATCGCTCAGAGCTTTTGTGTAATAAAGTTTTATTGAAGTATAAAGGAGATAGAGAAAGCTGACAGAGAGATCAGAAGGGGGCAGAAAGAGTACCCGCTTGCCAGTATTAGCAATGTAGTTATATAGTGTTAAGTGTTAGTTGCTCAGTCGTGCCCGACTCTTTGAGACCTCATGAACTGCAGCCCACCAGGCTCCTCTGTCCATGAGATTTTCCAGGCAAGGATACTGGAGTGGGTTGCCATATTCTTCTCCAGGGGATCTTCCCAATATACTCTCCAGTGAATCCAAAGAATGTCTGGAGGTTGTAAAGATCTCACCAAACCTACTCCCATAATTTACATTTTAAAATAACAGGATTAGCCGGAAGGTTTAATCCAGAGACTGTCCTCAGGCAGGATACATTATTGTTATATAATCCTAAGGAATGTAGAGGGAAAAAAGTTTGTCCTTTCTTCCTGATTGAGAATTCCGGACGCCTCTCTCCTTGGGGACCCCTAGACTTCTTATCAACTTGCCTAGGAAGTGACTCTCACACATTTCTTAGCTTGTGGGCTGTACGAACAGATGGCAGACCATAGTTTGCTGACCCCTTACACAGAACAATAAAGAAGTACTCAGTATTTTTCGAGAGAGAATAATTGAGAAAGAGGGTGATCACAATGCTATGATCTCTTATTCTCATCTGTCTATATGATAACACACAAAATAATAAAGGAAATTTGAGATCTTAGCACAAATGTGTATTTGTTATGACCTGTGAAACTTGATCGTGTGAGAATTATGAATATACTAATAAGATACAAGTACATTCTTTAAACAAGAAAAGGTATTCCTTGTCTAAAAAAGGGATTGTAGTTCAGGAGAGGTGGAATAACACCGAGTTGTGGTGTTGATTTAGACCAAAGGATTTCCAGCACAGGAATACGTGAAAATAAATAATAGTAATGTGAAGAATAATTCAAAAACTTTAAAGATACACTTTAATATTGTTTTTATATCAGGAAATGATATATCTGATGTATCTTTTATGTAGAAGATCTTGTGTAACCACTGAGTCACATAGAGGAAAAGCGGGTATTAGCCTTGCAGGAAGGAAACTGATCGAGGCCGCATATACGATATGGTAGGTTGAAGAGGGAAAGGGTTCAGCTGTCCAGACTTCTGAAATTCTTACTCAGAAAAAGGCAAAGCATCTAATTTGCCCCCACTCTTTTTCCGTTGTTTTTTTTTTTTTGGTTATGAAAAATTTAAATTACAGTCTTTTTATACTTTACATTGGCTTTTATTTTTCCAGTTCAGTAACATTGGAGTTACCTTGTTCTTTTTCAAGTCTACATTATTACTTCATTGTGTGGACATATGATTTGTTCAGCCATTTGTTTAAAGAAGACATTTAGGGCCTTTCCGGGTGTTTATTTTTTGGCCATGCGGCTTGCGGGATCTTAGTTCCCCAACCAGAAATCAAACCCAGGCCTTGGCGGTGAAGGCGCTAAGTCTTAACCTCTGGACCAGCAGGGAATATCCTTCAAGTCTTATTAAAGGCTATAGTGGACGTGCTTGTAATATATCTATTTCCCTCAGTTTTATTCTGATAATACTTGACGTAGAAACACTGTTAATTTAGGTTGTACAACATAATTATTTGACATATTTGCACGTGTATCTTTATATTGTCATAACATCTGTATTAGTAGGACAAACGCCTGAAAACTGAGCTTCTTTGCGAAAAAGCATGGAAGTTTAAAATCCTAATCGTCTTTTCAGTTTCCTTGCCATAAGGTACCTATTTATGCCCACACCTGCATATTATGAGATGACCTCTTTGCTTACACTGAAGCCAGTGTTGATGTTTTTATATTTTAAATTTTTTGCTAATATTTTTCATTAAAAGTTTTTAATGATTGCATAACAGATCTTGTTCTGTAGGTAATGTACATTTTCCAGCCTTTTCTCAGCAGATGGGCATTTACTTAATTTCCTTTATAAAAACTTTTTAATTTTGCTGCTGCATAAACAGTGTTAAAGATTCTCTGAATATTTGTCCTTATGTGCTAGTAGATTTATTACTGTGAAAAAGGTTGGGTTGAAGGATATAATTTACATCAGCCCTCTGTATCTGTGGGCTCCTCATCTGTGGATATGGAGAGCTGCCATTCTTTAGAAAGGACTTGAGCATCAGTGGATTTTGGTATCCATGGGGAACAGCTGCAGTACTAATTTTTATGAATATTTCCGTAGTGACTTTTAAGAAGGCTATTATTATTTACATTTGCCTTGACAGTAGTGTTTGAGCTTTCCTCTTTTCCCACATCCCCAGAAGAGATGGTTATTATCTATGTTTTTATTTCTTTCTGGCTAGAAAAGAGATGTTTGGTTATTTGAATCACATTTTTTTCTTCCTTAGTAATTTTGAGTATCTTGTTGTTGTTGTTTGTTTGTTACTGGGATTTGTTTTCTGTGCATATCCAGTCTTTGGCTGTTTTTCCTTTTGCATTATCTGTCTTTCGCTTGTCAATTTATACATACATACCACACATGACATACTGTCCTCATTAAGAAATCCAGTCTGACCCCAGATTCTAATTTACTTTCTTATGTTTTCCTACAATGTTTTTTATTTTTTACATTTAGATCTTTATTTTTAAAGATATAATGTAGCTTGAAGTTTTCCATGAATAAAAAGTTGTAGAAATTAAATAAATTTTTAAAAATATATGAAGTAAAAGGAAGATCTTTATTTTTCTCTAGAGCAGTGCTGTCCAATAGAAATGGAATGCAAGATACTTATGTAATTTTAAGTTTTCAGTCAAGCCGCATTTAAAAAAAGTAAAAACAGGTGAAATTAATTTTAGTAGTATATTTTATTTCACCAACTTAACCCATTATATAAAAATATTATTTTACATATAATTTATTTTAAACAATTGTTAAACTAAGTCTTTGAAATCCAGTGTGTATTTTACACTTACATCAAATCTCAGTTCAGACTAGGCACATTTTAGTTGATCAGTGGCCACGTGTGGCTAGTGGCTTTTGTAGAATAGCATGTGTTGGATGGATTGGATGGATGGCTCGTTGTGCTAGCTTCATTTATTAAATAATCATCCTGTTCTTGTTCAGTTAAATTTCACACTTGTCATACCTGAAATTGTTTCATAGTGAGATCTGTTTCTGGATTTTTAATTCTGTATTCTAATCTATTTATCTCTTACACCAACACCACAGATTTTATTTCATTGAATTTTCTTAGGTGTTCTTGGACATGTATTCCATATATAAACTCTAAATCAGTTTTTTTTTTTTTTTTTTTACTGTTCTCTCTCCTCAAAGTTTAAAAAACCTATTGTGATTCTAAACAGAAAAGGGTTAAATGTATAATTTAATTGGGGTGTAGTTGGCATTTTTTATATTGTCTTCCCAGTCAGGAATGTGGTTTGCCTTCCATTCATTCAGGTCTCATTTTATTTCTTCAGTGAGGTCCTCATTTTTAAAAAACAGATTCTTTTTATCTTTTTTTTTGGCTGTTATGCATGGAGATTTCCCCTCCAATTTCTGATAAGCAAACCACGTGCTTCATTGCTTCGATAAAGAAGAAAAAGTTGATATTTGACTATTTCTTATATCTAGACCCCTATCATAATCTCTTACTAATAGTAAATTTTTAACTATAGAGTTTAAGTATTACTGGCACTCCATGTTTTCATGTGTTTCCCCAGCTCATTCTTATGCATTTGGCCAGAGAAGCTCGTTTGAGATCTGTGAATCAGTAT